GTTTCGGGGTTTTTGCGTGAAAGCGTGTTTTTTTCACTGGAGTTCTGAGGCCTGAGATTTTCTTTCAGAGCCATCAAAATCGCTGAGGCTGACCGCGTCACAGCAAGGTCGCGCGTCCAGTAAACAAATCGGTTAAAGTGAGTTGCGTGTTTTGCATGAGTGGAAAGTCCTCACGCTCGGCTACCGGTACTTCATGTACCGGGACGTCGAGTAAGAGGCCCGACGGTGGAGGTACCGATATTTTTCTTGGTCTCCCCCGCTGATCGGAGGGCATCCTCACAGTCTGTTTTTTCAGGCGGTGGTTTACCCGATTTTACCGGCTGCAGCGAGGCTGTGCCCCTGGAGGCTTTCCTCCTATGGGGCCCGTTGCGGGTCTCTTTGTGGACCCTTCCTCGCACGGCACCGGGTTTGCCTCCGAGTTGAGGGCTTTGGTCGAAGGACTGTCGGGCCGGGTAGATCAGACGCAGTCGGAGCGAGCTGTCTCCACTGTGTCCCCTCGGTGGGCAAGCAGGAAGAGACACGAAAGCATGTTTGCATTCAAACACGTCTCTTCCGGGGAACCCCCGTTCCCAGTCACGGCTCTCCCACTATTTTGGGGGGTGGCCGAGGCTCAGGCTAATTGCACCGGTTCTTCTCTGGATCCGCGGGCACTGAATGCCAATGGGGTGCTGGCAGCCAAGTCTCCGATCTCGGGGCAGGGCTTTCAGGGCAGGGCACACGTTGACCCCCCCCCACTTTCAGCCAGCTAGGGTTCGTCACGCGGTAACTGTACAACTGTAACGAATTTATCCTTGTGTGCGGTCCCTGCTGTGGGTTTTGACTCCTTTCTTACTGACCCACGCTCGTCCCCAGAGGGAACCGACCCTGTCATGAGACGCACAGTCGAACACGCTCCCTCTCACATATTTTAAGTTAAAGGAGACTCAGTTCGCTCGCGTTGGATATAGCCGGTACTCCGGGCGGTCCCTCAGAGTCTTCCATCTGTATGACTCGGTGAGCCACGCTTTTGGGGTTAGGCTGAGTATCATCGATCCCAGTGATACGATGTATATACCCCCACCCTTGATCCTAAAGCGACCACCTAAGGTTGCTTCAACGCTTATGGGATCACGGGTGTCGGGATCCAAAGCAACCCCGTCGGCACATCTCTCCCCTGTCCGTCTGAGTGCGGAGTGTGGCGCAGAGCATGCAAATGGTGCTGATGGGCGGCGTTGGTCAGCCACGGAGGATGTAATGCTTAAGGCCCCCGAGTGGGGATAACTTTAGGCAACAATTCCCACTGGACCAAACGCTACCCGGTCGGTGTGTTTCGGGATCAGACCCCATAGCATGGGATGAGACCAAAACGCCCCCAACCAGATTCCAAGGCTCCTTCCCCAGACCCCGGTACCACGAATTTGGCAAACCGGGCAAAGGGGGATAGCCGCGTTCCATGGGTGTCTTTAGCAATTAAGGACGACCCATCTAGCCCTGAGGGCAGAGTTGCTTGAGCGCATTATTATGCGTGCCCAGCACTCTGGTGACCTTGGAGGCAGAACGCACCAGCTCCCAGGTTTCGCTTCTTTTGACCTACGCCCTCATGCGAACTGTTTCGGTCCTACTTCAAGCTTATCACCCCCGAATTCTAGCTTTCTCGGGCGCACCGAACCCTGTCACCACAGCAGCATTGGTTTCTTGCTTCGGGGACAGCACAGGCAAGGTAAGACACCACCCTTCTTGGATCTTAACTTAGGTCTTTTGAGTTTGTTTTCATCCCGGACTGGGGAAAGACTTTCATCATTCCTTTTTTTTCTGTTGGCTCGGAAAAACCCGCCACCTATCGGTGTCTGACTCTGCCTACAGTTCAAAATAGTCATTTTGACTGACCGGAGTCTATGGTGGGTAATTGAACGTAGTGAATTTAGGCGA